CAGTGTCACAGGGGACTGGGACAGAGCTGTGGGCACTCACCCTGCTGGGCTTTGATCTGGGGCAGGAAGGTCTGCAGGAGCGCCAGGGATTTGCGGTGGTACTCGGCCTGCACCTCGATCAGCTGCGGGGACAGGGCATCAGGGTCACTGTGCTGACAGGGACAGGGACAGGGACAGGGACAGGGACAGGGACAGTCGGGGCATGGGTGGCACTTACAGTTTGAAAATAGTTTGCATAGTCGACTTCTTTGGCCACAAAATTGTACATGTCAGCCGAGAGCTGGTCCTGCAGGGAGCAGAGGAGCCGTCACCTCCCTCCCCTCCCAGTGCCACCAGCACTACCCTTCTGAAGCCACCAGCAGGGACYAGCTTGGTGCCACCAGGAGCCAGAGTGGCACAGGGCAGCACGTGCTTGGAGTGTGCTGGGGATGGTGAGCACAAGGCAGCACTGGGGGCTTTGCTTCCCAACTCACTCAACCCAAATTCCAGCCCCGCTCTATCCCCAGGGATCAGCACAGACCAGGCCAAAGGGGCACTTGAGCTTTCTACTCCCAATTCCAGKGACCCACTGGCACCAGGACACTGCCCTCGTGCCCACAGAAGAGGCTTTGCCACTTCCTGAATTGCTCTCCTCTGGGAATCCCCTTGGAAACTCAACTGGAGCAAAACCCTCRGGGGGTTCAAACACACCCCAGCTGCAGCATCCAACACCAGCACCCTGAACACACTGGGACAACTCCTGGCTGTCCTGGGGTGCTGGAAATTCCTGGGCAYGTGGGGCTCTGATGCCCAAAGATGGGAGAAACAGTCTGAGTTTGGGGCTGCATTTCAAAGGATGTGGGTTGTGGTTGTGCTCCTGGAGAACAGAGCTGGGATTTGAGAACAGAGCTGGGATTTGAGAACAGAGCTGGGATCTGAGAGCAGAGACAGGATCTGAGAACAGAGCTGGGTTCTGAGAGCAGAGACAGGATCTGAGAACAGAGACAGGATCTGAGAGCAGAGATGGGATCTGAGAGCAGAGATGGGATCTGAGAGCAGAGATGGGATCTGAGAGCAGAGCTGGGATCTGAGGACAGCTGGGATTTGGGACACCCACCCAGCTCCATCTCCTGCCTCAAACCAGCTCCTGCCTCTCCAACCTCCTGTAGCACCAGCTTTGCCCAGCCCTCAGCATTTTCTGCCCCAGGGAAATTTCAAATCGCAGTTTGCTGGTGGATTTTATCCTGAACCCCACAGTCTATGCCAAAGGTGCTGGAAGCTCCCTCCTGCCACACTTGGGCACTTCTCCCACCCAGCACAGCCAGCAGGGTGGGACATGGCCCTGTGGGATGGTGGGGGTGATGTGGCTGGGTGGGACACATGGGCTTGGCGTGGGCCAGCATTTCCTGTGGGTGCTGAGGATCAAAGCTGACTTAAATGGTTAGAAATTAACTGTGATTATTTAGGGTTCAGTGCATTTTAACCAGCTCACAGAGGGCCCTGCTCAAAACTCTGTGTGAGTGAACTTCAAATGACCTCCAGGGGAGGAAATGGATCCACTCATTCCACCAGATAAGAGGACTCCAGGGAAAAGGCCTTCAAGGACAGGCAGCAGATAAAGGATGAGCCCTTGGCAGAGATTAGGTGGAAGGTAAACACAAAACAAGTTTGTTACACAAGCCCAAAGGTAAGAACAGTTCCTGTCCTGTGTGTGAGGACATGGAGAGAGAACTCCATGAAGTGTGAGAGGATCCCAGGCCAAAAATCACCCATGGACTGTGAGGGGTAAGGTTTGAGGAATAGGAGCTTTAGGTGCAGAGGCTTAAAAGCTCCAGGGTTTCTCTGTTCAGGGTCCCTGAGCAGCTCCACCCTGATGGTTTCTATTGCTGCACTGCTCCATTGTTACATTACTTTTTCCTGGATTTGGGTGTCTGAGACTCCACTATGGGAAACCTAAAGGAGAGACATTTCTCTAACAGTTTGGAGACCCAGGTGTGACCCCAGGCCACTGCCTCTGGACCCTCCCATCTCCAAACATGCAGCTGCCAGCAGTCACTGGGACCTTTGGAGTGGGAGGCACTGAAGGCTGAGCATTAAAATTCCCTGAGTGGGGTTGGTGAAGGTGCTCCCCTGATCAGAGGAGGATCAGGTGCTCCCCCACTACAGCCTGAGCAGGATCCAGGTCCCCACAACGTGCACAGAGAAGGGAGGTTGGAGACCCTCTTATCCCATGGAAAGGAGATGAAAGTCCCTCTTAACCCATGGAAAGGGGGTCAAAGTCCTTCCTATCCCATGGAAAGGGGTGAAAAGTCCCTCTTAACCCATGGAAAGGGGGTCAGAGTCCCTCCCTATCCCATGGAAAGGGGGTAAAAGTTCCTCTTAGTGCTTGGAACTGATGGAAATCAAGGCAGCACAGAGAAGGCAGAGAAGTGTCTTTAGTGGCGGGGCTGAGTGTGCTCAGTGCTGAGCTGTGCCAGGATGGGTTCCTGGGCA